CAATATGAATTTTAGAATTGTTATTTCAATTCGAATTTCACGTGTAAAAATTTACATGTGAACACGTATATATATGGATATATATACACATATAATTTCCGCACAACACCTAGCGAACGGCTCCTATGACCGAATATATATATTTATTTTATTTTTCATGTTGTTCTTTTTGTTCGTGTTGTAAGCGTGAGTCAAGAGGGGCTGCGCTCCTCTGTAAGAGAAGGAGCTTCGCCCCTTCCTCTGCATCCCTCCGAAAAAACCTAACCTAATCCAACCTGTTATTACAATATCATTAATGTCACGATGCATAATGTACGTTACTATATTGCAATAACATATTAAAGATTGGGTTGAGTAGGTTTTTTGGAGGAGGATGCAGGGGGAGGGGCGAAGTCTCCCTGTTTACACACTTACAACACAATCATACGTAAATGTATAGTACGTAAATGTTTTTTTTTTAATGTTTACATTAATTAATGAGACCGGCCCAGTAGTCTCGCGGTCTGAACACAATGGCTGCGAGCGGGAGGTTTTGAGTTCGAATCCACACCGTCAGATTTTTCCGGGCCGATCTCTTTCAAGTCGAGTTTATCAATTGAAAAAGCGAACTGAATCAGGCTTCGAATCAGCTTAAAATTGGATGTGAGAGATGTGAAAGAGGAATGTAAAGAAATATTATAATCCTGAGTGGAATCAATAAAAATTCCTTTATCATCCTCCTCCTCATTAATTATATACTGCTTTCACTGTTATACCATTAGTTCGAAAGTATATCGCAAGAACGGGCGTAGCTCGTCTCTGTATGCGCTTTGCCACCTAAGCATGTACTTAGTTTTTTGTGAATATCTCGAAAACTAAAGCCGAGCGGCGGTTATATGTTTAAAGAAAAGTTATTCAGAATGTTGACCTTGATAACATATTTCAAGGTCATCAAAATCGGTGAGGTCCCCCCTAATGTAAATAATTACCGAAAACTTTAAAAAAATCTTGCTATAACAAGCAACGACTAAAACTGAGACAAGATTTCACATAGGTTTACAACTTTCCATGTAAAGCGAGATTCAATCTAAACGTATATGTCTAACAATTAATAATAATAAGTTTTAGACTCTTTTAGTTACAAACTATGCGAAATTTTGAATGGTTATAGGAGCCTTACGCTGGGTGTTTGTTACGTAATAAATAAATAAATATATACATATATATATTTTTTAGGTAATTATACAGAATAGGGGAACCCCCTCCGATCGGCTACTCGTTTACATATATTGTAAATATGACCTTCCTGAGTACGTTTCTGAAAGTTTTAGCCGTCGCTCATTGTTTATAAAAAAGTTATGATCAAAAAGAGTTTCATAAATAATTTTTTTTCCCGACAACATGTACATTTTTTGTGTGTTGAAAAGCATGTAGGCAGGAGGGGGCTGCGCTCCCCCGCAGGTGAAGGGGCTTCGCCCCTCCCCCCTGCTCCCCCCTAAAAAAAAATCAGAAAACGACTTCTGAATAAGTGTCGTTAAAAATCACGTACATACTATCGACATGAAGCTGTAATCAGAAGTCGTTTTCTATTTTTTTTTTGAAGGGGAGCAGGGAGGAGAGGCGAAGCCCCTCCATCTGCGGGGGGACGCAGCCCCCCCTGCCTACATGCTTACAACAAAGAAATGAAAACAAATCGTATAGCGATTCAATCCATAAATATGTTTGTGTGTAACACATATATTTTTACATAAATACATCTCACATTTAATGTAGTAGATACATTGCACTCATTATGTCGAAAAAGACATCAATTCTATTATCAAAATTACACATTGAGCGAAAAGGCGATTACGAACGAAGAAATCAAAACAAAACAGAAACTTTCGGGGTATGCTACATATACACACATTGTTGGCAAAATAAACATTACTCATTTCCTTCTGAAATGTACACGGTGTCGAAAAACGATAGTTTATTCATGTAACTTTTTTTGTTCATAACTTTTTTATAAACAATTAGCGACGGCTAAAACCTTCATATTGTTACTCAGGAAGGTAATCTTAATAATATATGTGAACGAGAAGCCAATCGGAGGGAGCTCCCCTTTTCTATATATTTACCCTCATATAGGATGCTGTACTTGCATCACGTATATGAAATACTCCCCTAACTAAACTTTGTAACTAAAAGGACCTAAGGCCTAAAACCTTATTATTATGAATTGTTAAATTCACGCCGGTCGAAAATGGCTTCTTATCTTCAGAATTCTCGAGAATATACGTATGTATATTGCGAGACAAACATCAAATGCCTCGGTGGTCGAATTGGGAAGGCGACGGCACGGAAAATCAGAAATTCCAAGTTTGACTCCTGGCAAAGGTGTTTTTTCGCAATATTTTAAAATTAGTTAGGAGAGGTAAACAGGGATACTTCATATACGTGATGCAAGTACAGCATCTTAAATGAATTTAGAAATTGAAATTTTGTTTCAAATTTACGTGTAAAAATTTACACGTGAAGTATAATATAATATAATATATATACAATATATATATTTATTTAATTATATATTTTAAGCTCGTTGAATATTCAAATAAAAAGAGATAGGGAAATGGCAATAACAAGCTAACACCAGATGTTTGGGTACAATTCTTTTTAAAATCTCCGAATTAAAAAAGAATTGTACCCGAACATCTGGTGTTAGCTTGTTATTGCCATTTCTCTATTTCTTTATATTTATTTATTTATTACGTAACAAATATCTAGCATAAGGCTCCTATGACTATATATCTAGGTTCTTGACAGTGAAACCTCTCTATAAGGAGAGGGCCTTTACGCATACACTTTCCACGCAAAGTGAGATTCAACATAAACCTATGTGCCTAATTTTTTGATAGTAGAGTCTTCCTCTTGTAGAAGAAGCGGAACACTGTCTCTACGCATACACTTTTCATGCAAAGCGAGGTCCACATGAGTTTACACTTTTTAAAATTTTGAACTTTTGTGGGGTTTTAACAGTCGTGTTTATATAATTACATTTTTTAAATAACTTTTTAATAAACAACAAGCGACGGCTAAAACTACTTGGAGACTACTCAGAAAAATGTTCTTGACAACATATGTCAAGGTCAAGGTGATTGGAGCTAAGTTCGTTATTATCAACATTTACTCGTGTTTGGCATAACTTCTACGCCACTATCATCACGTATCTATGCATAATATGTGCGCTATGTGTAAAAAAGAAAGTTCTAAATCATTAATATCATAGATATTAAATGCATAGCAAATTTATACACTAATAACTTTAAAATTACGCAATCTTATGAGCAACAAGACAAGCAATAATTATGCGTTGTGTGTCCCGGACTTTTTTTTATACATCTTGATGCATCACGTATCCTTAGCAGGATTCTTTACACATTTTGCTACACAGAAAGATAAAGAAAATTAGGAAAATTAGGATAGAAAGAGATACGTCGTAAACAGATACAGAGTAGGAGAAGAATAAAATAAACAACTTCTGTCTTCAATTTCTTCACAATATTTGATTGCATCCTATTGTCGTTCCTTTTCTTGTCGAGAGTGCCTGGGAGAGGAACGCACCGACGCCGCGCGGCGGCGAATAACCGCGCGGATATCGCGAGATACCAAGCTGGAATTCTGGAATGGAAAAGGAGCGTTCGTGCAGGACAATGAGAAAAAAGCAATTCTCCTTAAAGATAAAAATCGGGAAAAGAGAGAGAAAAGAGAAAGAGAGAAAGAGAGAGAGAGAGAGAGAGAGAGAGAGAGAGAGAGAGAACAAGAAAGAAAAATGAGAAGGTAAAAAAGGATTCTTTCGATTCCTGAGAATGTCAGGTCGATTTCTCTCGTCGTCGCTCTCTCCCCGGTTTTTGCTCCCGCCCAGGATCGAATCCGCCGTCGTCGGTTGTTTGAAAACGAGCGCTCCTCTTTCGACGAATTTATCGAGTCAAATAAAACTCTAACCAAAAAAAAGACGCGTTTTACTTTGCTTGTTCACTTCGATTCCGCGGTTCGCCGAAAACTCGTCAAAGCTATGTCATACGACGAATGCGTCACTGTGTAGTGATGCATATATATTATTTGTGAGAGACCGTCTCATCGAGAAACTCGAAAAAGGAGCTGGAAGATCTCGCCTATTCTTCCTATCCGACTGCTCGTTTTTTCTTCAACTTAATTATCTAGACTTTACGGCCAGCTGCTGTGTCTGATGTTTCAACATTCGAGAGTGTAAAAAAAATATATATTGCCGTTCGAGAAAACATTTTAATAAAGAATCTTTAGGCTCTGAGGTTTCTAAACGCGAAATATATAAACGGTAATAAGAGCCGCGCGTACGCTGGATATATACATATACGTATATTTCCGCAACAACATCCAGCGTACAGCTTATTACTGTTTATATATTTTGCGTTTAAAAACATTTTAATTTATAAATATTCATTAGATTTTATACGATAAGTAATAGATCTATTTATTCATAAATCTAAAAGTTTCTTCATTTTTGTCTTAGTCTTTTTCTTTCTCTCTTTCTCTCTCGCAATGTAACATAAAACATATTAAATAAAAAAGAAACTATATAGATACTAATAATTATCACTTAAATAATATTTTAGTTATTATGATTTTATCAAATTTAATCACATATATACGAAGTTAATAGTAAATTACTTCAAAATCTCTTTTAATGAGAGAAATCAAACTCTTATCCGTCCAATTATGCATCGGAAAAGCAACATCAGTTAGGCAAAGGCAAGAAGGACGCTATCACAATGCACGGGAACAACAATTGCTGAAGATCGTGTAGGCGATGAGACTCCGTTCATTAATTTGATTCATTAGTCCACGTCGTGAAATCGACCGACATCTGCGCTGCCGGCATCCTTGGTGAATAAAAATAAAATGTAATTACGCGCGTCTGAAGCCTCGTTAAAAAATACGATAATAGTTGAAAGAAAAACGCGTGTCGTTAACGTGTCAGGAAATTGCACCCAAACGGACGGCGCAAATTTGCGCGCACGTTACATAGAACCGGATCGGTCGGAGCTTATAAGCTCACGATAATTTACTCTGAATAGACTCGTTCCTGCGAACATAACGATTCGCACTTCTATAAAGCGCAAGCAATTTATTACCGTGTGGTGCTTGGACCATCGGCCATGCCGGCAGCTTTTGATCCACATCTTAATTAACGAACTTTTTGTTTCATGAAACAGAATCACAATTACCAAAAATAATAATCATAATTTTTTCGAGAATCGAGTTTTAACATACAATGTAAAATTATAATATTCTTAGAAGTTCTGACTCTATTTTATTTTCGGCGATGTATAATAATTTCTTACAAACAATATAATAAAAAAAACCGAGATAACAGTTTGTAACATAGTTCAATATTTTTCTACAAATTTATTTTATTAAAGACGATAATACTACATACAAAGTTAAAATCTGTTTTTCTTACTGTGATTCATTAATGAGATCATACAATTTTAATTAATTTTCAGGGATTCAAGGATTAGGATCTCTGAAATAGTCTATATTTTCAGTCAATATGGACGTAAAACAAAAGCGAAAACAGTACTCTCCAGTTTCTTAAGTGGCATTATTAATATCTTGACGTCCGCGTCTTTGGCTGCTGATTCGATCTTTTTATCTTTGTGAGACGAACTCTTGTCGTTGGTGCTTTTTTCTCTGTCGTCTTATCTTTTTCGTACTCGATGTTAGTTGACAAGATGCATCGCAGACTGCAGACGCGGCGACGTATTAAGAGATGTCTTATCAACAGCGGTGCATATAAGCGCGATTACTTCGAAAATGAATTCTCTATGTAACAGCTATATTTTAATATGCGTGTAAACGTTGATTTTATTAGCATATACGTATAATATGTGTGTATATATTTACTGTATTGCATAAACGCAATGCAAATAATTATTTTTTTCATTGTATTAACTTACATATACATGATCTTTTAGGCATTATAAATCTAATACACGCAGAGCGTGTTCATATTTAATAATAAATTGATTGTGCTGTCAAATGTAAATGTTAACGCAAAAAAATTATTATTTGAGAAACTAACACAGTGTTTTAACAATAACTATCGATTACCATTCTCACAATAAATTTTTAATGTTGCCAGTTTGTGAGAATAAACTTTGAAATTATCATGTGTCCACATGACAATCCTTCTTCGTTCTTTGTGTTATGCGTGTGTGTATGTATGTGTAACCAGATCATTGATCGATCTTTCATTTACCCGCGGAATTGTCTGGCTCAAATCGTTGCACAAAATTAGGTAAAACTTTGCAAACGATTTCTAGCGAGAACCCGGCATTTAGCGAATCCTGAAAAGACGAAAACCAAAATCGTTTGATTGTTATTTTCTCTTTTCTTCCCTCTTTCCTCCCAATGTCGACTCGACGTGTGCTCGTCGACGAACAAGCGAGCAATTTAAAGGGCTTGCGTCGAAAACGCACTCCTTCAGCATTGAGTCCATTAAAGAGCATTAATCTCAAGAAGTTATCATCGAGGAAGAGGATTTGAAGGTGCCGACAGTCGTCGGTACAAAGCTACGAGAAAGAGACGTAAAGTTCGAAAGAAGACAGCCAGAGCAGTCGCGAGATAAGACAGAGACAGAGAGAGAGAGAGAGGGGGAGAGAGAGAGAGAGAGAGAGAGAGAGAGAGAGGGGGAGAGAGAGAGAGAGAGAGAGAGAGAGAGAGAAGAGGAAACTTCTGGATAAACGGAGGCAGATAGGTTGAAAATTAAAGCCACTAGCTCGTTTGCAATGACGAAAATCTTGGACTTCACCTCTCGAAGATCCGATCGAGATTTAGCTGAGCTACTCGCTTTTCTCCTCTCATTGTGCACCATGTCTTTCTTTCTGTTCCTTATGCTTTCTTTTTCTTTTTGTATTCTTTTCTATTTCATTCTCTCTTGTCTATGCTCACTCTTTGTTCCGTCTCTTTTCGTTCGACGTCTCTCGCTGCTCCGTTCTACTCCGCATCTCGGCGAATCGTGTTTAAATGCACAAACGAAGCGACAGATCAAAGGAACCGTCGGCAATGCACGCACAGCGCGAGAGCGTTGAACAAGTGAGAGACAGAAGATTTATGACAGAAAAGGAGAGGAAACAAGCAAAGGAGAATGGCAACGTTTATTATTATCATCGTACACGCGTAGTCACACAGTCGTCCCTCGTCGCTGTCTCGCCAACTCCTTTCAATAACCTCTGCGCAGTTGAGATTAACTTTCGTGTAAACAGGTCGTCACCACCAAGTGCACGTACGCGTGTTGCTGCGACTCATTCACGCGCAAGTGTCGCGCATCCGTACACGCTTGCGTACTCGATCTGTCTCCAATGATAAGCTGGGATCGAAAATCAACTCCACATAGTGTCTTCAATATTTTCTCAACATCTACGCGTGAACACGTACACGTATGCAAAGTTTTTTTATCGATTCAATAAAAATTGCAATTATTTTTTCATAAATCATCATATAATACGCAAGATTCGTATTTACTATCACTTTCTTATATACGAATAATCGTTATCTTTATTGTTCGTTAAATGTGAAAAATTTTACATTAAAAAACTCAATCCTGGTATATCTTCAATAGACTCTTCTGATCGACTGCGTATAACATAGATTGTAATTGTCTCCGCTGACGAGCGCGCAAAAATCGAGAAGCGACACTTGAGCATCGATTGGCCTCGCAGAATACATTGTAATTTAGCGGATATTTCAGTTACGAATCTCTTGAATATTCAATAAACAAAATTAAGAAATTTCTCTTGGAATTAGCACACCGGATCAAGATCATATCTTGGCCTAGTTGGAGATAGACAGAAATATAACGCGCAAGAGAGCAAATGCTATAAACGAATTTGATATATAAATGATGTTAGAACATCCGCCATATGAATGTCTAGTAAATTGCATTGTGGCTAGAGAAGATATAATTTTCTTTTTTTTTTAAGAGACAATCATTGACAAAATGGAAAACAACACATTAACAGATGTATCATCTAAATGGTAAAGTCGGTACGAAGCAAACCCCCCATTTAGATATTAGTAGTTCAGAGATGATCGCTCAATGTCCGATAATATTGATGGAGAACTGGAGAGAAATAATAAAAAAAGAAGTAAGAAAAGCTTTAAACCAAGCAAGAACTGGAAAAGTAGTCGGACTGAATGAAGTGAACGTGGAACTGCTTAAGCTGATCAATATTGATGGCAACAACATCCTCTTGAAGCTGTTCAATAACATTTACACCACTGAGAACATTTTTGCGAACTGGCTGAGATCCACCTTTATCAGTCTATCCAAGAATTTCGAATGCGAAACGATGCAGTGACTATAGGCTTATTAGCCATAAGGTATGCATTGAAAGTGTTCTTGAGAATCCAGCACACTCGATTATAGAGGAAAATAGAGGAGAATATTAGTGAGACTCAATTTGGATTTACGAACAGCCTGGGGACAAGAGAAGCTTTGTTTTCTATGCAGGTTCTTGTTCAAAAATGTCTAGACCAATAGAAAAGTGTTTTTGCTTGCTTTATTGATTATGAGAAAGCCTTTGACACCGTAAAACGTGACATCTTCATCAGTTAACTAAGACGTATTGGGCTCGACAGTAAAGACATCATTAAGAAACATCATTAAGAAACTGTACTGGAATCAAAAAGCTCGGATTAAGATAGGAGATCACAACATTGAGAAAATCAAAATGCTAAAAGAGGTGAGACAAGAATGCATCTTGTCACCGGCTGTCTTTAACTTGTATTCTGAAGCTGTATTCCAAAAAGCCTTAGAAGAAATTGACAAGAGAATTAAGGTTAACGGCAAGAGAATCAACAATATCCGCTACGCAGATGACACTGTTCTCGCTGACAACTTAGAGAATCGTCAATTGCTCATGGACAAAATCAACGAGAAGAGCAAAAACTTCGGGCTCAGGATGAATATCCACAAGACAAAAATCTTGGTGGTTAGCAAAAACAAAATTGACAATGTTGTAATCACCTTGGATGGATTGAGAGCGTGTCGCGACGAAGTAGCACCGTCGGGCCGGGAAGTCGCGCGAAATGCTGACGATGGTAAAGCGAAGAAAAGCTGCGTACTTCAGCCACATATTCCAAAACAACAAGTATAATCTTCTGCAATTTATCATCGAGGACAAATTAGAAGAAAAACACGGAATCAATCAGAAAAATTTCTTGTGGATGCGGAATCTGCTGGTTTTACGTCCGCGACATGGGCGCGCTGATACGATGCACGCAAAATAAAGAAAAATACCACATGATGATCGCAAACTTTCTGTAAGAAAGGGGCACCAAAAGAAGAAGTTCGAGTCAAGTAGTTTATCATCAGATGTAACAACAGCGAATCGCGTTAATTCTAATCTAATATTACAGACGTATATATTCAAATCTAATTAATTAAAGAGACATTAATATCCTTGTGATATGTTCAATTAAATACATTAATTTAAATGATAAAATAACCAGTTTTTTCGTCGAAACTCTTTCTTATTACTTAAATTCAAACATCATTCTCGCTTTTCATTTCAAAAAGGCTAACAAATTGTGCGATTGCGTACTCTTTGGAGAATTGTTATAGAATCAGAATTTATCAGAGTAATGAGTTAATGAAGTGCTAAGCAAAAGTCGTTTGAAGGCAATCAGGTGAGTAAAATATCGTTTATAATATCGTTCCGAAGTTTGGAAATATTGAAAATGTTTTTGTGCGAGCAACACAAAGAACGCAATTTGAGAAGAAATTTGCTTCAAACTTGTCGACGGCGATTCATGCCATCATATACAACTTAAGCGCAAGTTCTCCGACCGCGAGAACTACCGAACCGCTTCCGCGAAAGCATTTCAGGAAGCAAGACAGTTGTAATAATAGCTCGTCTCGTTATTAAAGTTTTAATATCAGCGCAAAAGTCGACGTCTTGATATAAAAACTTGAAAGATGGCTGGAAAGAAGAAACGATACTCGCTCTTGCCTATCTTCGATATTATCAAAACACTAAAAAAAGACCGACTCTTCGAGAAGAACTAACTTTTTACTCGAAAGATGAGTGATTGAAATGTTTTATCTTACCGGAAAAACGCATGTTAACCTGTAACGCGTCTTTTTTTAAATAAAAGTTTTGGTTGAAAACACAATTGTGTAACAATTATTATTATTGAACAAACACATAAACGTTTATTCTCTTTCTGCATCAGCAATATACTATGCCGAAAATCAATTTTATAAGAATCGTCCATAAAACAAAGTTCAAAATACTTCATGTGCAACAATATCCTTTCATCTGCAAATCTAAAAAAATCTACGACTAATGCAGTTTGGGTCTGTAAGACCCATGCGATTTTAAGATCGAATATCTCCGCAAAAAATCAATAGTTTTTCAATTTTGTTTCCTTGAATCGAAAGTTTGAACAATTCTGTGTCGATAAAAGAACAAATTTAAAAAATCTCCAATAGTTTCAAAGATGTAAGCGTTTAAAGAAAAGACAATTTTTTGCAAATATTTCGGGTGGCAGCTTTCATAGCTGCAAATTGCATACTCTGCGAGCCATAACCTAACCTAACCTATAATAAATTGCTGTAAATGTACATAAATTTTGACAAAATTATGAAAAAAACATCAATTAGTTGATATATTACAAATGCTCAAACTAAAAAAATTCATTTTTCGAAAAATTAATGTCTCTCGCAGACCTGAGTCTGTCAGACTCTTCACATTTCATAACTATATATTCGCAAAGCTGACGCTGTCAACATCCTCTAAGGTAAGAGGCCCAAATTTCGTCTCCCTAAAGTTTTTTGTCTCTTATTCAGACTGTAATTAATGACTTTAAAAAATTCGTATGCGTAGCTCAAATGTGTAGCTCACAAAATGCGTAGCTCACTAGTATAAATCCTATAATCCTTATTTCTAAAACTTTTATACAAAAAGAGAAAAAAATTAAAATGTGAAAGCATGCATTTTTGACGTTTCCAAAAAAGTGTTTCTAATTTCGTCTTTCCTCGATTTATCTAAAAAAAAAGTTGAAACTGTCAGTATGATCTATTAAAATGTTTCTTCTAGAAGCGCTATTATCTATAAAAATATAATTTTACGTGCAAAAAGTAAAAACCTTAGGTAATACGCAGTTCGTAGTTATAAGAATACGCAGAAATCACAGAAAACTGCTTTATTCTATAAAGAAAAAAATTACAAGTTTTATTATTTTTATTATTATTATAAAATATGTAAAATATATATTATATTTTAACATGTATTATATTTGTTATAAAATATATATGGTATAGCTAAGATACTGGGGACGAAATATGGAACAGAGTTTTTACATTTTACATTTTTATTAAATGTCATTTTACTTGTGACACGATGAAATTATCACTTTGTAACATTAAAATAGAAGTTATATACTATAACTGCACAAAATTGCAAGTAAAAAAAACGTATTTTGTATATAAAAAACAAGCTTCAAACCAAAGCCTGCACTACAGTATACTGCTTGCAAACCACTCACACGTTATAAACTTGCGACAAAAACAACGATTACGCTCATAACGTCATAAGGTTTTTTGCGTGCGTTCTACTAATTCCAATAATTTCTAGCACATGACAGTACCTAATAGCTGAGATCAGCCAAGGGACGGAATTTGGACCCCTTACCCTACCGTTGTTCTTCCCTTATCCAACCTTTTTGGTTTTCCTAGGCTGCGTATATAATATATATATATATATATATATATATATATATATATATATATACACACACACACACATATATATAATATTTAGTTAATGTATATAAGTAACAAAACTTCCTTTAGTTTTCACTATAACATTTTCATTAAGAAATTATATTTTTTATTATAACTTTGAAAAAATGAGAACAATATAAAACTAATGAGATATTTGACTTTGTTTTTGTGGAACTAATGCATCACATACACACACAATGTCTGGTTCGATAGAAGTGGTTGCAATTCTTAGTGAGTTTTCAAGATGCTCGTCAGAAATTTTTAATCTGATTTCACTCTTTGTGTGTACTTTATTCTTAAAAATAGTTGTTTACAAATGTACGTATTGCAAAAAGCGATGACAAATAAGGCGTGATTGTAAAGCAAAGAATACATGGCGTTGCGGAAGCAACAATTGAACGCTATATAAGAAACTGCGCAATGCTAATTCCGCCTGCCGAGTCCGCCATACACACCCAGATAGCCAAATATGAAAACTCAATATAAAGCAAATCATTGTATAGATTAAGTTGCTTGCCAATTGTTGTTGTGTTGTTTTTATCTGATGCAACAAAAATGTTTTTGTCAATTCAGTACCAATATACTGAGTTTTATTGTCAATCAATTGTTGTAGCCAATGTTTATGACAAGTGAGTCAGCAATATGTGAGCAATATGTGAGCAATGATTTTTATTCATAAATTGAGAAAAATAATATAAGTTTATTGCCGATGAGTTGTTGAGAACTTGCTGTTATTATATTTTGAAAACTGTTGCTGGCAAGAACATACTGAAAAGAGGATACACCCTTTTGTTACATTGCTGAAAACTTATGAGCAATATTTGTGGCAAGTTGCCAACAACTTGCACTCAGTTCGCTATCTGGGCAATTAGTTGAAACAAAACACGCGTGTATCACATCACATGTTGCTTCCGCAACAATTGAACGCAGTCCGCGCTCGAGCATCGCGGAATTGAGTCATAAAAAATATTGAATTGTTAACATCACATAATAATAATGTTAAAAGTTTGATTTTGTGAGGTCGCATTATTAGCTGTCGCGGGCCGCAGATTGAACACCCATGGTCTAAAGCTTTAAAGTTTTTTTTCAGGATCCTCAGATATCGCTTAAAATTAATAAATACCTACTAGAAACAACGATTTGAAATTTTTGAGTGGATCTGGGAGACTCAGTCTGCAAACAAAGAGATATCAAAAGGTACGGTAGTGCCTCACGCCAAGTTTACGCGTAGCGAGGCCAGACCGTTATTTTTTTACGCGAATCGGGCAGTTCAGCAAAATTAAAATTTTCATATCTCAACAAAGACTGAATCGATCAACTTCGTGTTGGTCTCAATCAATTCGGGCTAAAAAATAAAAGAAAAAGTATTGTTTTTAGTTTTTTTGTACATGCCTTCTGAACAAAGATATTTCAATGAGATATAACAATGTAAAGTTATCATTTTGTCAGAATACGAAAAAATTCAAAACTATTGTGTGACTAGACAGTGGTGAGGTAATAGTAACGAGAAATGTTTTTGTTTTGTCAGTTTTATCGAGCATATGTATTCAACGCTTATATTTTATCTTTATCGTGCTCTCATAATTGCGATATTACAAGTGTTTTAAGTGGCGGTCATTGTTATTCGATGATAACTGATGATGTATATGTTTAATTTTAGCGCTTATGGTTAATTTAGCTAATATTACATTCTAGAGATACCTCCCACGTCTCCATCTCACCGAAGAAGGTTGAGACAAAAGACGGATCCTCGAGCAGGAGAGGTAGTGTAGTAGTCTTATGAAAGATATTCAAAGCGATTTATATCCTGGTCTGCTTTCTGATTCTCTCATCTATCTTTCAAAGGCGTTTACCTTGTAAACTCAACGCCCGAGAGGAACGAGTCTTCCAAACGGAACTTGAAAGAAGACCGCCGAAAAGGACGCAACGAGCGGCAAAAAAACAGAACGCTTCTTTTTTTCCTCTTGTTCAATGAGTTTTCTGAAACTTAACGGTAACTCGCATCTTTCTGATATAATATATTATAGCTGCTATAGTCCATCTTCCAAAGCGGAATTAATTTGCAGAATACATCGGCGGCCGTTAAGTGAAAAGTTAAATTCAAAAGGAAGAAAAATAGTAAAGTTACTTTCTCGCATTTCAATTTGACAAAAACGTTAAGAACATGTTGGATTATTATATTTTATAATGAACTATATTTAAACAAAATATAGCTAAGTATAGTTTTACATTATAACGTTAAGCAATTGAAGTATTTTTTTAATAATATAGTTACAAACTGATTCTCAGGATTGAATTGCAACTATAAATACAAACGCAAGAATGCACAAAAACGATAAATAGTTAATGGTGATAATTATATCTTCATAAAAATGTCGTGAGTTATGTAAAGTTTCCGTCATTAATTTTGTAAACAAATATATCTTAACAACTTTACTTTAACAAGAAAGAAAATTGCATTCTGTAACATTCTCACCGGTTTTTCACGTCGTAAATTCCACATGATGTCTGATAAAAGAGTTCTTCAATAAACAACGCAAAACATTCTCTAAGAAAAATTAAAAAAACATAACAGACAATAAATAAAAACCGTTTAAAAGGTTACTTTAAAAGCCACTTTTTTACATATTACAAAGAAATATTTTGTTTCACGCACACATAGACAAAAAATATTAAGTCTGTCTTGTAGATCTGAGATTGGAAGGTTCCAAGCTGATATAAAAAAATATACAAAATTGTTTTTGTACTAATACAGATTATTACTGTTGTTGTTGTTATTTTTAAATATTGTCTCTTCATTTATCACGTTGTTACGTATCAACTTGCCAGAATTATTGAAAAAATTATTCTCAAGTAAGTATAAATACGTTTAACGAGCAATTAAGAGAATCTTAATTTTAAATAAATATAATCAAGATGTTTTATTTAAAATTGTAAATATAATATGTTTCATGCATCAAGATGTTATTGAATTTTGCAGATACGAGGAACATTTAATTATCAAAGACTACTCTTTAATTATGTCAACACTTATGTCGCATCACAAAGCGTGACGATCCTTTAAAAAAAACTCCGAGAAGTGCGTTCAGAGCGGGTCTTGTTACCATCTCTAGCAAGATTTACAGCGTGATATCAATGGTCGCTCATTTTAATCCGAAACCTTCACGACAAAACAGCGACAGAAATCTAGCGGATTGCTTTTTCACTATGCTGCCCTATAAACCAGTCGATTATATTGTATGCCAAATTCTTTGTAAAAATGAGCACTTTCACAATTAAATAGAAAATATGGCTAACACTGCTTTTATCTTAAGCAGACCATACGTTTTCTGTTTTATTGTCTTATTATATCTTCTCGTTATATTTCTGTTTGTTGTATAGGTAT